TAATGTTTACTGCCCAAGCTAGCATTCTAGAAGGTCCTAAAAGGTCTATGTGGAGTAGTTGTAGAGATTTTGTAGTTGAAAAGTATAGTTTAGGTTTAAAAGAACTTTTTACTTGTTTCTTAAATTGATAAGCATCACAAATTTTATCTTTCTCAAACTTCAAATTTGGCAAACCTTTGACCAAACAATTGATTGAATTTTTTTAGAGAAGATCCATACTAACATGTCCTAATTTCCTGTGTCACAACCAAGTAGCCTCCTTTAAACTTGATAAACATTTTTCATTACTTTCAAATTCGATATTTATGATATAAACATCTTTACTTTGGCTTCCTATAAATATCACCTTTTTTTATGTAACATCCTTAATATAGCATTTAAAAGAATTGAATTTAATATGATATCCTTTATCACATTAAATTTCAATAATTAAAAAAAAAAATTCAATCGAAGAAGAAGAATGATTACCAATGTTTCCACTTTCAATGGTTTTTCCTTTTGCATTATCCTCGAATGTGACATGACTTCCATCATTATTTTTCAAGTTTGATAGTAACATTCTATCTTCGATCATGTTCTTTGAGCATCCGCCATCCAAGAACCATTTGCTCTTCATCTTCTTTAGTACCTACAAAAAATAATTTAATTTTTATCTTTTATACCTATACAAGTTTGGGTTCTTGCAGTTAGTTTAAGTGGACTCTCGAATCCACTTGTTTTTACTTTCAAAGTGTAGCCTCTTTTTCGTTAGATAATTGTAAGCAATATGTCCATCTTTATTACAAAATTTATATGTAGTGTTTGAAAGACGTGTTTGATGCTTTGACAAATAAATTTTTGAAAGATTTTTGTTTCAAAAATGGTTTATCCAATTCTTCCTTTGTCAAAAACACACTTTTGATCACCAAGCATTAAATCAAAATTCTTCTTACCATGATTGAATTTGCAAATAATCTTAGTTAAATCTTCAACTTTTTCTTTTAAAGAAGAATTTTCTTTAATCAATCATGATCAACATTTTCCTTTTTGAAACCCTTTTGAGTTTCTAAAATTTTCTTTATTTCTTTTTTCAACAAGTAGTGTTTTTTTTTTTTTTTTAATTTAAGAATTAAGTGATTTAAAGCAAACGTTTCAAATACCTCAAATTTCATTATAGGAGGTAGATAGATTATCATATGAACATTTTTCAATAGGATTTACCTCATTTTCGATTGTCATGCAGCACAAGTTGGGGACTTTTTTTTTACTATCATTTTCATCGCGATCATCATCGTCGCTTTCATCTCATGTCGCTTGGAGTGTCTTTTTCTTGATATTCCTCTTCTTGTTTGGGCACTCGGTTCTCTTGTGACCGGGTTTGTTATAATCATAACGAATTATTTTCTTGTTTCTTTCTTCATCCTTTTTCTTTCTTTTGGAATCTTTAATTATTTAGAAAACCTCTCCATTTTTTTACAAGAATAACTAGATCATTAAGCTCTTCATCGCTCGTATTTTCACTCGTAGTTCATTCTTCAATTACAGACTTTGAAGAAATTTAGCTCTTAGGAAGCTCCTTTAATTCCTCTTTGCTTTTCTTTGGTTTCTCTTTAGTTTCGACATTTTTCAGCCCATAAGTCATCAAGGCTCCATAAAGTTCTTCCAATAGATATGAGTTGATATTTTTGGTATTTTCTATCAACATCATTAATCACTTTCAATCTTCCAATGGTAACTTAAGCATTTTACTTATAAGCTCACCATTAGTAAATTTACGATCAAAACTTTTGAGGCCATTAATAATATCGGTGAAGCGAGTAATCATGTCAACAATAGATTCATCTCGTTTCATGAAAAAGTTTTCAAATTCTTTAACCAAAAGATTAATCTTGGTTTCCTTTACTTTACAAGTGCCAACATGAGTAACTTCTAATGAATGCCAAATATCATATTTGGAATCACACATGCTAATATGATTAAATTCATTTATATTTAAGGGACAATAAAGTATATTTTTGGCTCTAACACTTAAAGATAATTTTCTTTAATAATCTTTGTAGGCACAAAAGGGCCATACTTAATAACTTTCCAAATATTATAATCTATTGATTGAATGTAAATCATCATCATAGTTTTTAAATAATTATAATGTATACCATCAAAGAAGGTAGGACGATTAATAGAATGCCTCTCAAGATTTTGAAGATTGTGGGTAGCTATTACTCAATATTGTGAAATTTTTAATTTTAAAAATGAGCACTTTGCTCTGAGACCTATTGATAACCCAAAAATAACCAAGCAAGTCGGCGGTAAATTGGTTTTTAAATTTTTTTCGAGAAATTGACTCAAATTTTTAACCAAGCTGAGGGTGAAAAAGTCAATCAAACATTTAGTATGAAAACGATAAGCAAAACAGAAGAGCGTGTAAAAACAATGCAATTGTGAAAGTTCAATCCCAAGCAATGATCTATGTCATCAGTTACGAAACTCTTTATCACGAACAAGGCCTTTTTACTAAATTTGATTGATTTGTGGTATAATTCAAACCCTTATAACGCTTCCAGTGACTTACAAATAAGGAGAGCCGCTCTTTATACAATATCGAACTTTTATGGACCACAATACGACCCATAAATTTATAGAGGAATGATTTTACAATTTGAAATTTCTCTCTTAATAAATGATATAATCAAATTGAGTACAAAGAGAGAAATATGCTAAGACTTTAATGAATAGCAATGAATGAAGTTCAAGTGTTAGGTAAGAAAAACTTGATAAGAAAGATGTTTTTCAAAAGTTGATTCAATTAAATGTTTTTTAAAGTAAATGATTTGATAAAGATAAATAAGATGTAAGATCAATATAATTTTGTTCAAGAATATCTCACTTAAATACTTTTAACTTCTTGTAATAAATGCAAAGTGAAATGGTATTTATAGAGTTTAAAACGTCTACAAAATTCTGACTAATCAAACAATCAATCTGGACATCCGCATACTGAACTGGACAACCAAGCTAGCTGTTGTGTGTCAAAATTCAGAACGGTTAAAAAAGTGACCATTGGACGAACTTGACATTTGCTTGGACAGAATTTTCTCGAATTTTTCTTTCTTAATTGTTTTGAATAATATATGCTTTTGAAGGACTTTTTCTCTGTATTTTTTAAGGTAAGTAATATTATAATGCGTTTGAATATCACGTTAAAATGCTTACATTTTTAAAGATAATTTTTATTATAGAATAATTCTTTTGTGCATAAAAAATTATTCATTGAGCTTTTAATAATTCATTACTAAAGATTAAAGCGTTATACCTTTACACATGATTACAAAACATCTCAATCTAATATCTTTGATGTTTGACCATTGAAGTTCTTTGTCTCGAGTGATTTGTTGTGAATGCTTGGCTTCCATTTCGATTTTTATTGATTTTGCGATGCGAGTCTTTTGACAGTGATATTTTTGTCCCAAGTCGATCAACTTTGCAACAATTGTGATGAAAGCTCGAAATTAATTATTAGAAATAAAATCAACTTGTTTGTCATGATCAAAAGATGAAGTCAACTATAGACAGTGCTGGCCCTGGCCCAAGACAGACAAGGCCACTGCCTTGGGCCTCTCAGATTTAAGGGGCCCTCTATAAGTAAAAGCCCATAAATTGCCCCCCATCCAAAACCCCTCAAATTCCTTTAAAAGCAAAATAATAAATAAATAATTTAAAAAATTGGTATTTAAAAATTGAATTTTTGTGCACGGGATTACCAGCAAGTTGTTTGGAGTTAGATTTGTTTTTGTATGGATTGGGGCCAGCTATTAGCCAAGTGAAATGAATAAATGAGAAAGGATAATTATATGTTTAATGGTGGCTAATGGTTCAGGGTCAACAATAATCATGCGAGGCTACAATTTGGAGGGAGATATACATCTTATTCGGCCACGTATCTCGAGTCCCATGCCTACTTAAATCACTTCAAATGATGTGGACCCTACGATTCATTAATAGGTTATAAACAAGCAGTTGGATCACCCACAACTTATTTTTTTACTTAGTCACAAACTTGAGTCGAATAGTTTCTTTTTAATATTAAAGTATTAATTATTTAAATATTTGAATATTATTACACTTGTAAAATAAAATATAATGTTGAAAGGCCTTATAATAATTAATCGCTTAGAACCTCAAAATTCTCGGGGCCGGCCCTGACTATAGGTGACTTTTCCACTATGAGTTGTAGAGCCGGGCCTTGTTTTTCCTGCCCTGATGCTGCCCCCGTTGCTCGCGCTAGCGCCATTGATTTGGTTCAATTTCTGGATTCTGGGGAGGTATTCATGAGCTGGAGTGAAACGAAATGAAAAGAGGGGTTTTTTTTTCTCACCCATAGTCCCCAAACATTTCCGCTTATCTATCTTAGGTCCCCATTCATTTTTTAATTACACTTAGGTCCCAAACTGTCTTTTTTGTTTGTACAGAACAACTTTTCGTCCAATAGCCACTTGAAAGGCACGTGCCCCATTCTTTCAACGATATTTATGTCTATTCATAACATAAGTTCCCATTCTTTAAAATGGAAGGCACGTTTATGTGGCATGATATTAATTAATCATTTATTACATAGTCACGTGTTATATCTAAAAACTCAATAAAATTCAACTAGATTGAATTCTAGTATTGTTTAATTACTTTGCATTTATGATTTCTTGGATTTTCGAAAATGGGGTATGTTATTGTACATTGCTTCTTTTCAAGACCAAATACGAACTTTCATTATAATAAAATGCCGATGTTAGCGAAATGAACCACGAGTATACAATTACCTAAGGAATTAGTAGAAAATGAGGCAAGCGAATGGGCTACCTTATTCCCGTCCCTAGGCATAACATAGGATGAACCACACACAACTTTGCTAAGAAACAAATGGTAGAAACTGATTTAAGAGTTCAATATAATTGATGACATAGATTTATTTTGATTTCACTAAAACAAAAACATCACAAGAACCTTATTTCTTACATTGAAAATTCCAATAGAAATTGCCACATCCCTTCAATTAGAGAGCTTTGGTATCAATCCTTCTAGTATAGGCAGGCTTAGAACAAAAATATAAAGGGACAAAAAACCTTGTCCAAACATCTCTTCAACATTTCTTCTGTGAATCAATCCTCTAATACCTCCAATAAAGCAAACCAAATTCAATAGAACCAACAGGATTAAGGGTATCATGAAATTCTTTGCACCTTTGAAATTGAATTTACCCTTCTCGTATTTTTGGAGCTTCTCTTGATCGATGGATTTGTTAATCGATCTGAAACTTGCTTTCGCTATGCCTAACCATTTGAAGAAAACATCGAGGCATCCAAATAAGCAAGCTGTTACTGATTTTATCATCCAAATTCTCTGTTCATTCCACCATGTACTAACTGAGCCACCACTCGAGAGTACTTCGTATAAATGTTGACAAAGGGATGATATGAAAACAGTAGCAAATGCTGCAAACCAGGGGTTTGTAACCTGAAATGGAAAACAACACGAGAGTTTATTTGTAGAACGTTGTTGTTCTCAAAGCATGTGTAAGCATAATTTTAAGGTGAAAACATGGGATTTGTGTATAGGATAGATTAGAAAGATTGTTGTCAGAAATTGTTTGTCATAAATTGCAATGTCCTCTCGAGGATTATATACTGTAGGACTAATTGTTCGACTGCATTGAGCCTAATCATAGTGTTTTGGGGTTCAGAGACAAACTCCCCGAGGTGAATTTTCTTGATATATAAACGGTACTGGGGAGGGGGTCGGTTTTGAGTGAGTGAGAGGTGTGAGTAAATCCTTCTACTCTTCTCCATTAAAGCGAAATAACCTGGAGCAGTGAGTAGACTTAATTCTCACATCGAGGGGTGAACTACTATAAATCTGCATTTTTCCTTTGCCTGATTTTCATTGAGTTTACTATTTCTATTATATGAAAGGAATAGCGATTAATCCCTAGAACAAGTAATCTGAATCTGTAAGTAATTTTAGTTAATGAAAACGAATAAGTATGTAAAATTTACTTACCTTAGGATATAAAGGGATTCCATACAGGAAGCATAGTTGAGGAACTATGCCATATAAAAAGCAGGGCACAGAGAAAAAGTGCGAAAACATGAAGTATCCATAGCAGAGGTTTTGAAGAATGGAAACCCGAGACATTCCAAAAGTGAGGGGGCTGAATCTCGATAGACCAGCTTCAACCAGTGCTGAAGACCAATTCATGAGTTGAACCATTGCATCTTTCATGTCAATGGTTGCACAACCAAGAAAACATGGCCTTTTTGGATAAAGATAGACCGATTTCCATCCCTTGCAGTGCAAGAGATAGCCGGTGAAAGTACTCTCCAACATACAGTCATATGAGTAACCAATCTGTCAAAACAAATAAAGCAACAAATGTTAGAGTCGACTGAGTCATATTTTGTCTATAGAAATTTGTCACAAGACACGACAAAGTTTTTTATGGGTTGTCAAAGAAATGGAATTATGAAACATAAGTGTGCTAAAACTTACTTCTTTCCCCCATTCGGTGTTGTCTTCGTATGTGCAAGAGGCAAGGGATCTGGCCTCTTCTATAATTGCGACAGACAGATTTTCTCTTTTATTGACAGGTTTTCCATTTAGTGTCATTAATGAATCAATGAACTGGCTAGAGCGGCCGAAGTTCTTTTCTGCCTCACTAAGGAATTCATCTGTCCAGCCAATGAAATATTACATTGATGTATTTTCATCTTATTCAATATATCATCAAATGTTTAAGCCAATTCCACAAGAAAATACAGTAATACCTTCATGACTAGGACGACAGTACAAGGCCTTTTTCTTCAGATAATATCCCGTGCCTGCGCAAACCGTGCCCCTTATCCCATCCATACCTTGATACCTAGTCTATATACATGCAGAAGTTCAATCACGGATAATATCAATTTCATCAATACCAGTAAGATGAAAAATACAGCCAGTCTCCATTCAACCTATTAGAAATAGACCAGGTGAGTTCTGAACCTTTCAATTTTATAACAAGTCCGTCCAGATGGGATGGTTTCGATCCAAATAGTGGTTAGAAAGATGCATGACTCGCAAATGACTTTATTTTGAATGAATAGTATATTTATTATTAGTTTTAATTATCAACATTCTGGTGGTGAGCCCCTTGATTCATTTTCCAATGTATTAAACTGCATCACAATTCCATTCGATAATGAATCAGGGGGTCTAGTGCGATCTAGAGCAGTGATGATTGAAACTAATGATGAATAGAACTACTTATATTGAATGGGTTGAAGGCCCCAGTTGTAACTTTCCTTCACTCGAAACCTAAAAATAGTCGTGAATGTGGGAAATGAGATATTTGTACCTTGTAAGCAGATCTTGCTTGGCCATCATAGATGTCATTCTTACTGACATTGTAGAAAACTTGAGGGAACTGGGCATATGCAAGTGAGCCTGATATTTTGGGATCAAGATGGAAGCACATTGCTTGTTTAGCAGAAGTAGGATCATTGCAATACATGTCACAATCTAACACTAGAGTGTACGGTGCATTGCTTATTATTCCCGAAACTCGGAGCTGGAAAAACATGAGAGGAACATTATTTTATGTAAGTCGTGCACTCGCACATAAGCTCGTTTATTACCAGAAAAAAAGGTCAACAAAGGAGAGAGTTTCTACATACAAGAGCATTGAGGGCTCCGGCTTTGAAGTGATGAGGATGTGATGGCCTCCTCTCGCGGGATACATAAACAAGAAGAGGCATCTTAGATTGATTATCCTCTAATCCTTCGTTCTTACTATTATCGTATATCACCTGTAACGAGCGAATCAATCAGTTCCTCTAATTTAAACTGGATTTCTATGTGAAAAAGGAAATCCTTTTTAGTTCTAGACACTAATCTTATTCTTTCTTTCTTTTTTTCTTTTTTTTCTTTTTTTTTTTTTTTTATATTTTATCAATATAGAGAATCCTTTTTTCTCTAATCATCACAGAAAGGGGGCCTGGTTCTCTTGTGAATATGACTGAGAATAACAAAAATCAGAAAAATAGATTTTGCCTGAGAAAGATAAATTGAATTATCAAAAATTTCGTTCGCTATTTAGAAGCGTGTTTGGCCTTAACTTCTAGGAAGGAAGTTGGCCTACTTAAAATAAGCATTTTCATCCTGTCAAGGAAAACTATTTAAGCTCAGTGAAACATGGTTATGCTTTAAGCCGAAAAAGAAGCATTTTTTGGCTTATAATCTTAACCAAACATATATGTCCATTCGACAATTCATCAATTTGCAATTTCAATTAAGCCTTCAGAACCAGATTATCTTTATCACTTGAATTTGAAAACTTATTAACAGTTCACTATGAAATCCATATATACCATGATATTAAATTGCTGATGACATTCTCTCTCCTTTATTAACATAAAACAATACATACCTCAACATATGCGGGTCGATCAGGTCTGTCGGAGTCCTCGACCTCGGTATCTTTGTCTACATTTTTCTTGAATTTTTCATAGTTTAACTGCACAATATTTGGTAAAATCAGACACCCTTTTTTTTTCTTTTTTTTTAAATCCTTCCCAGGGATTGGTTTCATGCTCTAATTAAGTTTCTTATTTTGATACAAAAGTAAGAATAATTTCCGAATGAAAATTAATTTGAATTATTCAAAAGTAATCAACGATAAATAATAAATAGTTTCTTGAATTTGTTACATACCTTGATCTTTTGTTCCTCTCCCTTGAATTCATCGCTCCAAACATGTCGCTCAGAATCATCGGACATTGAAAAATACGCATCGGGACATCTATTCTTGATCCCATAATTCCTACAAAAAGGAATCCACGACCTAGCAAACTCACATGCCTCTTTTATAGCATAAAGTGTCATGGGGGCTCTCCCGTCGTCGGAGACATAAACAGCCAGTTTGTCCGATGGATAATCCAGCGCCATGGCTGACAAAACCGTATTCATTACCTCCACCACCGGCTCCTTATTCGACTCAGTTGTACAAATAAACACATCCACCCCAGGCAACTTGTCGTCCTCGGGAAGATTCTCCATCTCCACGGCCCTAACCACCGGCCGCCACCGAAAAGCTTGCGTTAGAATCCATAAGAACGTGAAAATCAGCTCAGAAATAGTGATAACAGCCCATGAAACAAGTGGAACATTGCCATGAAAGAGGTTTGAGATTCTGTAATAAAGTAGAGTTAAAATGGCAGTAAAATGGAAAAGAATGTGAACCCGGTTCAGTAAGGCACGAGATTTCTGGACTGTGCATGTATTGAGTGAACCAGACGCCATTTTTGCGTTTCTTGAGCTTAATTTCTGCTATATCATAGCTACCTGTAATGGAAGATGTTTATATAGAATTATTGAAGAGAGTAGAGAACAAACGTGAGAACATTTTAATGTAAACATATATGCTTTGCTTTGTCTTAATAGAAATTAATTAATATTAAATTATTGGTTTGAGGAATCAGTCTTTGTGTACGGATAAAATACAGCACTAAAAAGTATACTACATGTTAACAATTAGTTAATTAGCTTTCATTTCATGGAATCCTCCCCCAGAAAAATTAACTTCTATTGGCATAATTTATTGAGATGAAATTTTATTTTGTTTTTCCAATAATTAAGTCTAGTTTGTATATTATTAAGCTTATATATGAAAGATGAATATTCGGAAAAGTGGATGACAAAACTGGGTTGAGAAAAAAAAAATTGTGGTTTGTCCAATAAACTGAAAATGTAATGCTCACGAGTAAAAAGAAGTGGTGGATTTGATAGGTAGGTCTTTACATTTGGGATATGAAGTACATTTGTGTTGTAATGTTTAAGCCTATTAGAACATTTTATACTAAACTAATAAAAATAAACATAATAAATATGTATAAATTAAAAAAAAAATTGCGATGGGGTCCTAATCCTTGTTTGTCGTCCACATCTTGTCCCTCTCAACAAATCCGTTTAATTAAGTGAGGATTCCTTATCCAATCAGGTCGAGTTTATATAAGGATCACCTGCCCTATTGTCATCCATAAAGATTAAGAACGAAAACTCCCACGTGCGATAAAAGGAGGATTACGAGCAAGACTATATGTGCAAAGACTAACTAGCTTACACTCAGTAATAAGACTGGTAAACTAATATAATTATGAGCGTGGACTTATAAGATGGCCTTGAGTGGATAGTTGAAGTATAAATTGGATGTCTTATAAGATGACCTCCGGTGGATGGGAACTGTTAACGTCCCTCACCAAACCGCTTCGGGGCACATCGTGCCCACTCCACATCGAGGTGCCACGTGTCCCTCCGAAATGATTCCGAAGTAATATGAGCCTCATCCTAACTGTTACACCCCTCACCAAATCGCTTCAGCATATTGCGCCCACTCCACATCGAGGTGCCACGTGTCCCTTCGAAGTGGTTCCGAAGTGATATAAGTCTCGTCTTAACTTTAAGTTCACATGTTGATCATCAAGAGAATTTGCCAAGGCATCCGAAGTACCCCTGATGCGTGGGGTACTCCGAGGCACCTCTTCAACAGCTCTCCGTTACCAGTTTCAGAAAGATCTTTGTCGAGATCCACTTTATCCCCATGGATTAATTGACGTGACATCTCCATGGGCTGATTGATGTGACGTATCAACTTTATATCAATTCAACTCAAAGGAATTAATTATCCACACTCTCTAGACGCAGCTGATTGACGCCTACTAGCGGACATCTCAAATCGTCAGATGCATACACGTGTCTCACATCCAATGGTGCTTCTCATCTATAAATATCTAAGATTTGACAAGATACAAAGGTAATGAAACTCATATTAAACTTAGATATATACGTATAAGTATAGTTTTTCTCCTCCCACTCTTGCACAATTCCGACACCATTCTGATCACCGGCCACTGACTTAATCGTCGGAGTGTATGTGGCCGCCGTCACCCCCGCTGATTACGACTGTGTGCTATTGTGCACAGGAAGGAACACGTAGAGTGGCTCTCAATTAGCCACGTAAAAATTCAATTCGCGAGGTCAACAAGCAGTTTGCCTCAATAATAAGCATTGATCAATGAGAAACTTCGAAATAAGACATTCAGGTGGGCATCTTGCGCAATGGTAGATGGGCGAAGTCGCAATACTAATTTTTATTTGGAGCATGTGCCAGAATTTCATAACAATCCTAAAGCAACAAGAATTTTCAAGTAATAGATTCCATTCATAAAAATTTGGCAAATTTGTAGTCTGGTGTTAACACTCCATAATATTTACACCAATTAATCTCTATTAATCAAACCAAATTAAAATATGTTATGCAATTCAATTAATATCCTAGTGGGCCATATAATCATATATATCTTATTAATTCCATTGCTCTCCAAATAGACCACATTAAAATATTATGCATTTGGAAATGACCAGAGAGATCATTTTGATAGAATAATGATGGCTTCCATACAATTTTTGTAACGGCACGAAAATTTTATGGAATAAATTTGTTCAATTTGTTATATTTTTGTAATTTTGAAAAGTTGATGGATTAGGGTAAAATAGTATTAAATCTAATATTATTTTGGGTCAAATAATTAATTATGAATAAAGTGATAATTAGTATATCAATATTGGACTTGTTAGATAGTTCGTATTTAATCATTTATAATAGGTTCGAGAAAAAAAATTAATTCGGATAATCGAAGCCCAAGTTATTGAAGTTTAAAGAAATTGTCGTTTAATATTATTTTATTACTTTTGCTTTGTGTGTGTGCTTTTTTTTTTTCTCTTTTTTTTCTCCAAAAAAAAAAAAACTTATGAAAGTATTGCATTCACGTGTAATAATCCCATTTTGAAATTCTGTTTTTATTTGATATAGTTTAATAGTAATTCTAATATCATCCAAATATGTTGTCCTACACGTTTCCTACTTGACACCTACTCTTAATAGGCTAAGTTATTACTACTTATGTGTGTGTGTACGACGCATAAGCATATGCAGGAATCAAATTTTGGAACATGATTCTAAGCATATGCAGGAATTAAATTTTGGAACATGATTTTTTTTATTCAAATTTTTATTTGATTTAACGAGGTAGGATTACGAGGTGCAAATGATTTATACCATTTAATTTATTTATTCATGTTGATAAACATTAGGCTAATGAAAGTTATGATATAATACGAAATGGTCACTTAGTACCAAAGATATGATATATTTTGAGTTCTTACAATTTCATAAATAATTAAATTATTAAGAATTTTATTTTTGGTAGCGACTTGAATTTATAAAATTTGGGTTGTTACAATTTTGAATGCTTTTTCAATCATCAAATTATTCATTACGGAATGAAATTTTTATAGAAGCTAGCATCAAAGGGTGGGAGGTCAGGAAAATTTATCCACATTTTCGTTCAATAAATCCCAAGCTCGAATCATGCTAACGGCATCTCAAATTCATATAATTTTATGCATTCGAAGTTTCGAGGAGGTGATGGATGATACATTGCAACAATGGAGCCAAGAACAGAGCGAAGCCCAAGCTAGCCCCCAAGCCCATTTTAAGCTGTAAAAAAAAGTGTGAAATTTTTCTTTTATATTTATAGAGACTTGTATCATTCTGATTTTATCTTTTGACCCTCACGACTGGTTTCTTCGTTGTTGCATAATACAGCTGCTTGCACTATACTAAGAGTGTCCAACGGTCAAAGCTGGATATGGGGATTAACTGTAACTGTCTCCACTGCAGTTGTTGGATGCTAAACTTTTTGTGTGTTAAATTATAACCCAAATTCCTTCGAGTATATATGTTTTGGATGAAAAGGCTTTGAAAAAGTCTAAAGATAGATCAAGGGGAAGAAGTCGTCGCTTTTTTAGCTTGCTGAGCGCTCATCTCCCGCTCGAGAGCTTGAAATATGGTGATCATCGCTCACTACCACTTGCTTGGGGCTCGAGCGATGTTGCGATGCTCGCTTCCCGCAAAGCTACTACTCGAGCGGCAGTGCTATCTAGAAAAATATTGTTATCATATTTTTGGCTCGATTTTTGTCCCGTTTCCAACTCCACACAAAATTCTTAGCTTTCATATGACTTTGAATTTGTTTTAAAGAGTTGGATAATATTGTAAGAACAATATTATTGTATTTTTCTCCATATCAATAAATTTTCACTCCTCTGGCAATTGTTCTTGCATTCTTCCAATATTGTGATTGCTACTTCATATTGTGCCATATGGTCTCATCCTTAATTTCCTAACACCATGGCCTAATGAAAGTGTCGCTCAGTCGAACCCATATGAAAAATTCCTGAGTTGAGCGTTCCATCCAACACTCCATGTACGAGGCTACCTTTTGAATTTCTAGAATATTTGGCAAATAAGCCTTCTCCAAGGAGAAATATAAAGACCCAAGTCTCTATAGTCGTTATAATATGTATTGTCTACTTTGAAAGAACTTGTACCCATCTTACTACTCACGAATTTATATCACTCCACAAAATTAAAATCAAGATTTTTGTCTTACAAGAGACTTAAGTTGAATTTTGGCACCAATTCAGCAATCTCCCGAAGTCGATGGTTCATATGTGTTAAACCTGTTAGGTTTCTATTGTATTGGCAATTCTTTAGACAAAAAGATTAATTCAAAAGAGTTGTAAAAGTCAAAAAGTCTTTTAAATTTGGTACTATAGTCGTTGAAAGAGTCCAAGACGTCCAAGAAGATCACACATGATCATTGGAATGCAATTTGAAGTCTAAAGGATATCAAAGAGCCGCACAAGTTATGTTCCAAATTCTCATTCGCAAATTTCAATGCATTTTTCACACATAAAAAATTGGAATTTGGACAAAGTCATTTACAAGTATTGTAGTTATTTGAGTTAGCTTTTCAATACATTTTGAATCAGCTCAATCGGATATTGGGAGAGAAATTTATGATGAAAATACTGACTACTACTCAACTGTCGCTTGCCTGTCGCTAGCTCCTCACTCAAGCGACAAGTTGATGACCAGAATTATGTTTTGCTTCAAACACTTGGTTTTTCAAATCCTTTTCATCTCAAACACTTTCTCTTATAAATATATACCCTATGGGACATCCAAAAGGGTGGTTGTTCCTTATATGTCATATTCGTATCATCCTTTGAAGATCCAAGGTCTTATTCGTTGATTCAATACTTTTAATTCTTGAGATCCTACAACCAAACATTTGGGAAAAAGACATCAAACCTTTGAATCCAAAAATCCTGGCTTCCTTAAGTCTTAGAGGAAGGGACTCTCTCGCTGGGATTGAGAGAGGCGGATTGAAGCACAGTTACAAGCACAAGAACAGATGGTTCTTGGTGTTTCACTTGGAGAGACATTCAGCATAAGATCCAAGAGGCAATACGAGACAGTAGATTGGGCCATAGGAGATCGATCAAGAAGT